AAATAATAAATTTTAATATTTATACCATACACACAACTATCCAGTGTCTCCATTCTGGCTAACCTCTAAACTGACAGAACATTTCAAACTGCATTATAGTAAAAAAATTTATCTATAGAAAAATTAAGAACAAGCAAAACTGTTTGAAACCACTGTTAATTTCTGGCTACATCTTCAGAGTCCACTGTTGCCCCATTTTTTTAGTTCAAAGGTTCATATTTGTGAAACCATTAATCCAAATCTCTCTATACTTGATAAATATATGCTTAATATATGCCTTCCAGACCTAATTAAATAATAAACTTTTTACTGTCCTATTCCAGAATTCAGTTTCTATTACATTGCCAAAGCACTTCATTTCCCCCAGCCCCTCATTCACTACACTTAGTCATCTGGGCCTCTTCATCTCCTCACCCTAACTGCACTCCTAGGAGGGTCTGGCCACACTACCTTAGTGCATCAGACACAGTGAACACTATGAATAAGTCTTCCCCAAGTGAAATGTGACAAGGCCTGAACTATTAACATTTTTATTAGTATTAATATTTAGACTGGCATATTTTCATATCTAAATGACTTGGTGGAAGTGTAGAGTTCCATATCAGAAAATAGTAATTTTTTATTCTTCAGACCATGGTGCCTAAAATTTTTACTACAAATTCCCCTTGCACTTTTCAGTAGGTTTAACCCTACCAATCCAATTGTTTACTACTAGAAACGTTTTTTACCTTTCAAGTTCACAATCTGAGAGAATTTTAACTGCTGTATTTTATCAAAGGCTGCATCCACATCATCTAATGTAAAGAGTGTGAAATCTTCTGTATTGTGTCGAGACTAAAAGAGTAACACAAATAAAAGGTTAAAAATTATCACTGCAGGAGTATAAAAAGTTTTCTTTAATTGCTTAAGTTACCTGATAAAGATCATACATGAACATCTGTCCCATTTTATAAACAGGGATGGTTGCATAGATAGCACAGTTCAGACCCAACTTTCCAACAGCATACGGGAGGGCACCCAGATGGAGAGGGTCGGGGTGAGAAAGCAGTACTGCATCTATCTGGTGAACGTGCCTACGAGAACACAACCAGGACAACTTCTCAGACCTTGCTTTTAAGGTTAAAGGCAGGATACTCAAAATTAATTAGCCAATTCTGATTCCACTGTGTCTTCTGAATTGAAGAGTAGGCTGGGGTTAAAGAACAAAACTAAGAGCTAAAATTATGGTATGTAGGAATTCAATGATTACTACCTCTGTCCTGCATATGTATCAAAATGATGGTATACATTGCATGCTATATGATATCTAGATACATTTTAAAAAGAAGAGAAAGTAATAGACATCACACAAGCTAATTTCATGTGGCTACCTTGTGTATTAGAACTCAGCTTGGAAAATAAGAAATTGTTAAGGACAGCATATTTAAACAGCCACTTATTTATTATGGGTTTTTGCCTCAGCTTTTTAACATGGGGACTGATAGCACATTCATTATAGTAAAATGTCAATCAATGAAGCACATGCTCTGACAAAAGAAATGAACTAGAAAAAAATTTTTTTGCTGCAAGTTCTAAGTTTTTAAAATGTTTGAGTTCTCGTTGCTTCCATAATTCATTCAGTACTGCAAACATAACTGAATTTTTCTTTGATGTACAAGTATCCTTTTATAACTCATGGTCATCAATCTGAGTACTAATTCTCAATGTCTAGCATCAAAAGATAAAGATAGTAAGCTAATGTGATCTGACTGCACAACTTTCACATGGGAGGTTATTCCTTTCTTCAAATTCTTATAAACGTAATCTTTCCTAAAATAAGGGTGCAAAAATTTTTACTGAGATTCACTGGTCAAGTAACAATTAACTTAAGATTTTGCTGAACTTCAATAAATACAATTTATAAAGCAATCAAAACTTTATTAGTGATAAGGGTCACTATCTGACTCTTGGACCTAAGTAAAATTACATGTTTTACTATAAATTAGAGGAAAAAAACAAACATCAAAACAGTATGACAGTATAGAAAAGAGAAACTAATTTAATAAAAGTCTAGAAATATGAAAAGTAACTTACTTCCTCAGGGAATCTATAATATCCATAGAAAAGTGCTCATCCCAGCCACAGTCCAACAAAAACCTAAACTCATCAACTTGTAGAAGATAACAAAGAGCAGACTCTTCTTGAACCCCAGAGAGGGTAGTTAATTTGATAATGGATGTCATATTTTTGGTCCAATAACAACAATCCAAAAGTTTCTTTCAAAAGAGATAAAAACATGTAATTAAACATAAAAGTAGAACCTAACATACATCATAGATAAATTAACTAAAGTTAAATATTTCCAAGTGGGCAGAAATTCCATAAACATGTAAAGCAAACATTTTAAGGACACATTTCCATCATCATAAGGTTTGAAAGTACAAACATGATCTTACATACTCTTGTTTACAAGTGAGTCTTTCATGGGCTCTGCAGTGTGGCTGAATAAAAAGTAGTAGACTTTAGAATCACAGTCCTAGATGTGAATCTACTCCTACATGATTCTGGGCAAACTAACCTTTCTTCACTTATGCATCCCAGTCTGTAGAACATGAATATTAATATGTACATAAAAAAGATGTTGGAAGATTTCAAATAAGGTATAAAATTACCTAGAAGAGAGACTATTAAGTTCCTCAATAAATAAATGTATACTGAGTTAATGAACCCATCATCAAGGTGAATTTGCTCCCCTGTATTTTGCTCTGTGATGGCAGTGATTACACCGCAGTACAATTCTTCATTTATATGTCTTTCTCTGTTAGACCAGTCATCCTTGAGAATCTGATAAAAAAGTATAGATCCTTCCTTTTCCCCTCCAGTCCTCAAAAAAACAAAACAAATAGGCTCATTATGTATATATATATATACGCAGAAATTCACATACTTTTCAGAGGCATTAATGTTAAGAACCCTTAAACTAGAATGTGAGCAACTGAAGAATAGGGGTAGGATCTTATGCTTGCAATTCCTAAAAGGAACTTAATGCAAAATAGGTACTCAAGATATACTGGATGGTTTTCTTTTGGGATGCCTACTACATATTATTTCAAGAAGATATAACATGAACACATATACTGGAGTTTAGGACTTAGAACTGAGTGCTATTAAACAGATATAATAAAAAAAATTCACTAGCAAAATAAGGTTACACAGCAACACTTCATATCTTAGCTCCTTAAAATAGATTGGCATTCCCTGTCTAACTAGGCAAGTAGACAAGGTCACTGCATACCTGACGATCTCTGGCCATCTGCCCCAGGTAATATCACAGACTAAGGCAAACTGCCCATCTTTCATGACAGATTTTCAGGAGGCCAATTCCACCACATCTCCCATCCTTGTTCTCCTCAGTCACAGCCAAAGATCCAAGACTGCTGGGTTATCCCCTATTATTGTGTCTCTCTCCTAGTTGGACCCAGTCTCCTAGCTCTTCTCCCTCCCAAACCCTTCCAGCTTGCCCTCTGGAACTCTGATTATACTCATCTGTAACTCTAACTTCTTGCTCGAAGGTTCTCTTCACCTGCTTATCTTCAAGGAAACCTGGCTTTTCTCAAACGACATGGTTTCTACCACAGTCTTTTCTTCTCTTGTGTTCCCTGTACCTCAAAAGCAGGAAGTCAGCCTTCCTTGCTCCTCACTAGGGCTTCTAACCCATGTTTTCCCCTTCCTCCTTCAGGTACTCCAGTCCTGTTAAAGCTCATGCCACCCAGCTAGCACACTATGAGTGCCCCCATTTCCTGCTCGTTGCTGGCATCTATTAATCTGACCTCATTCAAGGACTTTAGTTGCTAATTCAGTCTTCCTCTCAGTAACTGCAATCCTGACCTCACAGTTTCTTGATTTTCTCAACTCCACTCACTTTCACTTCACTTCAGCCACCCATCACCAGGTCATACCCTAGACCTCATCACTACCAATTAGCTGTGCCACTGTCAAAATTTCACTTGCAAGCACCTCTCTCACTGCCACCCTACTTACTCTAATATTCCCACTGCAAAAATCCTATCTCTAATCCGCTGACCACGTTTTATCTATTCATGACCCCCTCTGGTCTCCATTCATGTCCTAACTACCAATCCTTGGTCCACCATGATTATTTTGCAAACACTCTCAAGTATCTTGCTGCTCTAGTCCTTCTCTGTCCTAGTCTGGCAAAACCCCAATCAATGACTTTGCCTATTCCATCAGCTGAATGTTGCTAGAGGAAAAAAAACAACTATACAACTCTTTAAATTCATTGCCAAAGATCTTAAACAGAAACTAGGTGCTACCTATGAATCCTGTTTCTCTTAGTAAGCTGACTCTGCATCTCTGTGACTATTATTTCACATCTCTTCTGCTCAAGCATCATGCAGTCCTTCCCTCCACCCTATTCTTGGCTGATTATCTCACCTCATTCTTCAATTAGAAAATAAAAGTCATCAGGCATTAACTCCTCATTTTTCCAATGCCATGTCTATTAACCTATCTGCATGTACACTGTTATGTCTCCTATTGTACGGAATACAGAGCCGTGTTCTCATCTAAGACTACTCCCCAGGTGTGCTCTGGGTCCCATTCTCATTTCCCTTCTGCGGGACTCAACCTATTCACTCATTCCCTCCTTTCTCTGCATCATCAATGTATCACTGATTGACCATTCCTATTAGCATACAAAAATACTATAGAATCCCCCAACTTAAAATAAGCCTCTCTTAATTCTACAATGCCCTGCAACCACATCATTTCTCTGCTTCCCTTCACAGCAAAATTTCTCAGAATACTTGTCCACAAATGTGTCCCCCCTTTCTCACTTCCCATTCACACTACCAAATCCGGCAACTTTCTCCACTGTACCACTGAAAGAGCGTTCATCAAGGTCACTGACAAACCTCCATACAACTTAAGCCAATGGACATTTCTCTGGCCTCAACTTACCAGAAATCGAAACAGCATTTGATAAAATTAACTGCTCCATCCTCCCTGAAACACCCTCCTCCCCCTGCTTCTGTGTCAACCCTCTCCTGGTTTTCCTTGTATCTAACCGGCCACTCCTCAATCTCCTTTGTTGTTTACTGGTTCTTCTAAATGTGGCAGTGCTTTTAAGCAGGATATTCTTTTTAGGTAATCTCATCCAGTTCCACAGCTGTAAATATCATCTGGCCTTGGATGCATCATCCTTGATTCCTTCCCTTGGTTTTCCACATTAAATCCATCAGTAAGTACTGCATTTTTACCTCCATTACATTTCTCAAATTCCCTTCCATCTCCAGTCACCAAGATCTCTAGTCTGTGTATTTTCTCTGCATGAAATTTATTCTCAGAGATGGTTTTCTGACCACCGTGAAGTCCTTCCCTACCTCCATTACATGCGATGACACCATTCTACTTCACTCAAAACACTCAGTGCTTCTACACTGGCTGTTTATTTACTTGCTCTGCCTGACCCCTTCTCTCCTAACCCACACACTAGAATATGGACTCTGTTGGAAAAAATGACCTTGTCTATTTTGATCACAGTTATATTCCACTGCCTCCACCGTGCCCAACACATAGTGATGGTCAATAAATGCTTCGTAAGTGAGTGAAGCATGGCTAGTTTTGAATGAGCTTAGTGCCCTTATCACACCATTAACAGTTACCTATTTACATGCACTTCCTCTTGGTTTGGGGAGCTCTCCCAGTGCAGGACTAGGCTGATCCATTTTGGCATCCTCACTGTATTAGCACATGTCTTGCCCACCGTGGTTGTTCAATAAATAGTTGTCAAAACAAGTTAAACTTTAAAATATATTGACTTAGCATATTCCCATTTGTAAGGTATGAGATGTACAAACATATTAATTCTTTACTGATGAAAAAATGTTCGTAAGTACACTTTTGGAAAGGATCTAAGGAATTCTGCCTGCTAAAAAGCTTCCTGCACCAAAATTATATTAGTGACCTAATAAAAACTCTTTTTCTACTCAAAGCTACCCTAACTTCCACTTTATTTAGAGAATAAAGTGAAAATACAAACTATCTTGCAGATAGAATTGAATGAGTTCACGTTAAAATTTTTTGCAGAACCAGTTTCAGTGGATGAAAAGGTATTTTTCTTACAATTGCTTGTAACATACTGAAGTTGTGTCTTTCATTAGCCATTCATTACTTACTGATATCTCAGTTGTATACAGGATGAAACACCATGAATTCAACGGAAGAGTTCTTTATATATCTGAAAAATAAAGAAGTAAGTCTCATGAATGTGGTATGATTTACTTCTGTTTTTAATCATGGTGGTTAACTTCTGTGTCTTGCTTTAAGATGAACACCTTGAGCAGCAGCAAGAAGTATAATACATGGTCCTTTTTAAAAAAAGAAACTTGTCATAATTTTAGGAATCTTAAGCTCACATAACAGAAATAGGTATAATAAAAAACAAAAATAAATAATAATGTACCAAACTGGTTATTAACAGGGACTGAAAATATGCACTTTAGGAAATAAGATTTTTTAATTGACATCGGCTTCTATTACTGAGAATCCTAAGAGGTGGGATATTAAATTACTTGTTAAGGATTGGTAGAACCTGGGCAGAGAGACACAATGACTATTCAAAGTATTTCAAAACGGGAATAACATGATCAAAGGCACAAAACAAAAACTTACACAGTACCAGTGATAAAACTAGACTGGCACACTTTCATGTAGCCAAAAATGCAAAAAAAAAAAAAAGGCTAATGAATAGAAAAGGGCCAGATAAAGGTCTTGGAAACTTTGGACCTAATTCTACAGGCAACAGAGAAATATTTTAAGATTCATTATCAAGTAAGATGATGACGTGATACAGGCAATTCTGTATTTTAGGAAAATCAGCTGATATGTATAATTGATAAGATATAGAAAGTGGAGATAAAAAAGGAGATTTAGCAGACCACTTCCTCCTTTCAACTTCGCTGTTTCTATTTTGAGACTCAATTCCTTTAGCCTCAAATATGCTTTATGACTGCAACATGAATTGGTTAGTCATTATCTAAGTAGCCAAAGTTTAAAACTACATGTTCAATTCCTTCCTTTACTTCTTGCATGGTCTGCTAGCAACTCTTATTTTCCCCTCAGAATGCCTTGCTCATCTGGTGCTCCCTTTCCATTCCTTCTTCCAGCACCTTGATGCAGGGCCTCATTACTTTACAACTGGGTTTCTCTGCCTCCAGCCTTTCCTCCCTTCATCTCAACCTAATTATTCCTGCGAGGTTAATGTACAGAAATATCCCTGCGCATATTATCCCTCGCTCAGAAGTCTCAGAAGGCATCTGCTTGAAAAACACAAAAAACAAAAACCTGAATGCTTAAATGGCAACAGAAGATGCCAGGAAACTGTGCTAACATCTCCGTTGGCCATCATCCGAAGGCCCTCCTCACTAACTCCTCTATCATTAGCCTGGACGGCAGGAGCTCTCTCCAACAAAAACATAAGGCAAGCCGCAAATGTAACTGGGAATTTTTCATAGCCCCACTGAAAAGCTTTACAGGGGAAATTAATTTCAACATATTTTATTTAACCCAACATATCCAAAATATTACTTCAACACATAATTATTTTAAAACTGAGACATTTTGCCTTTTCATAAAGTCTTTGAAAACCCGTGTACATTTTATATACACAGCACATCTCAATTCAATCAAACCACAATTTCAAGCATTCAACAGCGACGTATAACCTGTGCCTACTGTAAAAGCATGGGTCTAGACTCTAAAATCAATGCTTTGGACTGTAGAGTATTGGGCTCTGCTGCTCCTGAAGTGGGGGTTTGGCACCATTCTATTTGTATGTACATGTTTTGATTTTAATGGTATCACCAACCGTTTAGTCTCATCAACTAAAAACTCCTCTGAAGTCACTGTCCACAAAATTGGCTACCACCACCAGAGTCCTACTTGGCATTTCCGGCTAACATCCTTTACTATCCTACCTCAACGGAGGCTCTCATTACCTTACCTGAATGACTGCAATTTCCTCTCATCTAGTTTTCCTGTTCCAGGTCGATCCTTCATACAACTGTCAGAGAGACTATCCTAAAAGACACATTACTCTTGGCCTCTTCCTGGTGTAAGGTATGCACTGGCTTCCTGCTAACTACTGATTGAGCAAAATCTAAACTCCTTAGCTGGGTATCAACCTCTCTCTTGCCTCACCAACCACTCTTGCACTGCCTGCTCAAGCGCCACCTATTTTCCCACTCTCCCTAAGTATGCTGAAACTTCTCAAGTCTCCACATCCCTGTACTGCATGGAAGAATGACTCTCTCACGAGTCTAGTACATTCCTTTTGACCCTTCAGGACACAGTTCAAACATTTTCTCCTTTACAAAACTTCTTTGGTGTCCTCAGGCAGTTTTCACCTAGCACAAATTGGGCAGAATACTACTTGTTGAATAGATGTTGAATGTATAAGCTAAGCTAAGAGTAAAAGCCATCATATTTGCATCGTCAATACCAAGCATAACCACCCAATGCAACATAAATATGTACTGAACAAAGGACTGAACCCTACCTATTCCGTAAATCCCTTCAGGGCGGTTATTCTGATTCATAGTACTGCATTTCCATTATCACAATTGTTCTCTCAATAATGACCTTGTATGTTTATGACAACTAAGGGGAACTATGCAAAATCCAAGAGCAAACGAAGGAGTCTGAGTTGGCCCTCGAGCCGAGTGCGAGAAGTTCCTGCCTGGTCAGTTCAGGCAGAGCAGCGGTTCCCTAACAAGATAAAAGGGGTTGTAAGATAAAAAACTAGGGGATGGCCAATTGGTAAATTAGGTTCGCCTGGTCACAGGAGGTCAGACTTGCCGGGGCTGTCTAGTCTGACCTCCTATTCACTGAACAGCAAGTAAAACAGAGTGATGGTGGGCGCTCGAGGGCGAAAGGGGCTGGGGGGCGGGAGGCGCGGAGCGCCGAGACTATTTTAATAAAGCAGAGTGATATCTTACAGGTTTTTGGAGTCGATATAAAAGGACGCCTGCTTTGTGCCCACTGCTTCATGGCCTCGTGGTCTCTACCCCAAACGATGGGAAGACCCCGATCAAGGAGGCTGGGAACACAGCAGTCACGAGGCCAGGGAGCCAGGGCTGGCGTCAGATCAGCTCCTCCAGCGCCAAGAGACTGAAAGGGCAGCGGAAACAGCAAAAAGGAGGGAAGGCGAGCACGGGAGTACGTCGTACGGACTGCCACCACACCGGGAGCGCGGGACCCGGGAAGAAGTCACTTCTCCTTCCCGCTCGGAGAACTTGTCAGGACCGACCGGGGCAGTCACTCCCGAAGTCCGGCAGCACGCCCCCGGCGGAGGCTGGGTGGGAGCTGGGGCCAGGCTCCCCCTGAGCGCCGAGCGCGCCCCTCCCCCGTCCGAAGGCTCGCTCCTTTCCTCCGCCCTCACTTGCCTCGTCAGTACGCCCCCAACGCCGTCCACTGCCCTTTCCAAACCCTAGCCGAGTCCAGGTTCTAGAGCGAGAGAAGCTGGTGCTCGCTCAGCGGCAGCCGTGACAATCAGCCAACCGAAGTTCCTCAATGGTGGCCGCCATTTTGAAACCGGAGGGGCACGGCGAAGGCGGGGAAGACCCGGGGTGATACCATCTCGGGGGGAGAAGACGAAGCTCTAGGAAGGAGATGAGGGTTACACCAACAAATTTCGTCATCTGGGGCCGAAGCTTTATTTTAAATAGTGTCTAACGTGTGAAAGCTAAAATAAATATGAGCAGAGTCAGATGTGAAAGGGAAAAAGCTGGATGGTGTTCCGGCGCCACCCCTCTCTTCGAACGGGCGCGGCGAATGGTGGGTTCCGAGGCCGCAGCTTCCGCCGGCGTCGGGGGCTGGGCTCGCAGCTGCCCTTGGTCTTCGGGTCGTGGTCGGTGCCGAAGCCGTAGGTGGGTCCGGGGCTCGGGGCGGCCGAGGCGCCGCGGGTTACCACTGTGCAGGCGGGGAGGGTCCATCTCTTGGAAGGCCCTTGGCGGTGGCGGGGAGTGAGGACGAAGGGGGAGGATGTCTGGGCCGGAGCGTCCTGCTTCCCGAAGCTTCCTTGCGAGGGAGACGGGAAACAGGCGTAAGGGTATCTCCCCGTGGACCGCTGGCTCAGGTTTCCCGCTTGGCGGCTTTTGGAAAGGGTACTCGAGGGCTGTCATACTAGAAAACGTCTTTAGATGTCACCCAGTGACCACCCTCTGGCCGGACTGGAGAGGGTTCCAGCTGGGATCAACTCCTAGGCCGAAGCCGGAAGGGGCTGCTGCTCCGCGAGCATCTCGGATTCGTCCACGTTTGTCTTCTGGGTCCTCGCTGCTCAGCATTTGAAGCCAGCCTTGCTCTCGACTAAATCTCTTGAGCTGGCAGTTCCTCAAATTAGGCACTTTTTAAAAAGCGCTTGGTTTCTAGGATGCATTATGTCATTAAGACACGGTTCCAGACCTCAAGGAGTCCAGTTTTTCCCTGCGTCCAGCGCTGTTTTTTCATAGGTTAAACAGACACTCTTTGAGGAATACAAAGAAAGTGCTCTGGGAACCAGGGAGTAGAACTTCTGTAAATGTTCATCTGTGTTTTTCCAACGTGAATTCAGAATGACTTACAAAAATACAAAATACAGCTTTCTTTTTAGAAGTTAAGCAAAAAATTGGGTTGAAGAAAAAGTAGTGTTAGGAAAAATCCGATAAAGCCAGGAGTGAGGTTATTCTAAATGTGTACCTCTGTAGATACTGTAAGAGACAGGAAAGCACAAAGAGTTTGGGACCAAGGAGCCCGGCTGCCTTGAGTATTAATCCCAGCTCTGCCACTTACTACATCTGTGACCTTAGGCAAGTTGGTCGTCCTGCATTTCCGCATCTGAAAAAAATATGCCCCTATATTGGGGACATTGGTTAATTCATGTACAATATTGTGAAGATTATAGTTGATTATGAAAAGCATGCCAGACAGTGCTACAAGAGTCAGCTTTTTCTAATGGTAGGCAAAAAAACTTCAACATTTTGGTGTCAAGGTTTTCATAATCAGTTATGTGATTCCTTGAGTCCATAAGATAAACAGTTTGGTTTTCTTTTCAGGAGTACTATAGCTACTCCGTTCTGAAGTAAATGAAAAGTTTTTCTTGAGTCTTCATAGAAAGACACTAATAATGTGAACATCGCCTTCTGGGCACCCATGTGAATGTCATCCTTTTCCAAACCTAGGCTTATTGCACTGGCGCCTGTCCCAGGTCCTCACTGCCCGTTGCCCATCAAATAAATACCCCTATGTTAAACAAGAGCCTGTTGACACTCTCTCTCCTAATCCATTCTTCTAGGAAATCATTCTACCTCACTTGTTATGTCTGTAAATCTGTCCTCCCTGGTCATCCACTTGAAATGAAATACATAGGACAAATTATGTTCTGTGCCTCTGTTTCCAAAGTCAGTTAAATATAAATTGTACAATTATAATATGAAATGCCTCTGGGACTAAGATTTGTCATTAATCAGGCTTCCATCATAGTGGTTGAATCCCGCTTGACTCTGAATGTACCTCATTCCTTTTATTAGTCCCACTGTCTTTACCTGTAGAGTCTCTGAAGGAACCTATATGCAGCAGGAGCCTCAGGGGCTTGTCTCATCACAAAATTACCTTAGCTGATGGCCCTTTGAATGGGTGCCAACGGTTATGGCTTATAGCTCACAGGTGGCCATGGGACTATTTGGAACAATCTTGGACTGAGAGTCAGCGAGTACTTTGTTGTTGGTTAAATACAAACAGTATCTAACACTTGGGCTGAGGGTTAGACTTGACACCTCTTAAGAAATTTGAGTCTGTTAAGAACAGATGGCAGAATAGATGGCCACTGGACTTCCTTCCACAAATATCTATATTGTCTCGTATTTTGCAGTCCTCTCAAAGTTACGTTATTTGATTAAGGCATGCATTGTTATTCCCAAACTTGGTTCAAGTTTATAAAACAAGTAGCTAACTTGGTGGGCACTTGGTCAGATTGACAAAAAGTACCTGTTTATCAGAAAGTACTTACAGATCTAAATGCAAGTAATGTCACTTAAGAAAGGCATTTTCTTAAGTGAATGCCTTAAGAGAACTGCCATCTTTTAGGACATAAGGTAAAATTGGTTACATTTACATCTATATAAATACATATTCAAGACTGATTTGGATCAAATCAGCTGAGATGTTCTTTCAACTACAGATTTTTCCAGTGCAAGGACTGGAGGGAGTTGTAGTTTGAAAAAGGCTCTCCAGGTGATTTTAATGTGTGGTCAAGTTTGAGAATTCCAGCTGTAGACAGTGGAGTAAAACTTAAAACCAATTGGTGACAGATTGTAAGTAATATATTTTAAATATCTCATTTACTAACGTTTTCCAGTCAACAATACTCAGACTGAACCTGCTGTGTGTAATATGACACTTTATGAAATAGTAGTGTATAGTAATTCTGTGGCTTTCTAAGGCCATTTCCTAACCCAGTGCCTTTAGAAAGTGAATGATTAAAGTTTGAGAATGAAGGAATTAGAATGTGTAAGTTTTAAGAACCAGTGTCTCAGAAGGAGAGGCAAGAATCTAGTCTACATAATCCTAGTACAATTTAGTGCTAAGCACTTTTATTGAGAGTAATGAATTCTCTTTTTAGGATGTTGTCTTTTCAGCCATTGTATATGATTTATTCATTTTAGATTGCTGTGCACATAGATATATTTTGAGTTCATCTTTAGGTACAAACTTACAGAAAACTGACAAACCATGTTTTTATTGAACTAGTGTAAATTTATTGTATATATGGTTACTTATATTCTTCCTCCTCTGCCTTTTGGAAACTCTTAGAACTTGAAAGCTCTTAAGTACCATAAATATTTAAGGGAGAGGTCTCTTAGAGAGGCATTTAATATGATAGAAAGATCCAGATCTTTGAAGCTAAGCTGAGTTTGAATTCCAGCTCTACACTTAATGCCTATTTGATTTAGCTCTTATCTGTACAATTAGGATAATCATAATTATACTGTATGTACTACATGCATATTTCATATCATACATATATAAATAGGTTGGTTCTGTTATCTAGTAGTCATTCTATAAAAGTTCCTTCCTCCACATCTTTTATAGAGTCATTTTATTATAGAGTCACATAATTCAGATTTATTGTGACATTGATTACAGTTTTTTTTTAATTTCTCTCATATCTTCTCATTTCCTTTCAAAAATTAGTTTCAGCTTTGTGCAGTGGCAGTATAATAGCCAGTGAGGTTTATCCGAAGCATGATTATTACTAATAGAAAAATTAGTTTTCAATAATTTTAGCTTTAAAGAATTATGCTTCTGGCAAGATAGTATTGTATCTGTTTTAGCATTGTGAGAGGTTCTAAAAATATTTTACACATATATAGGTTTTAAATCAATAGGAGGGTGTAAATACGCAGCTATTGCAGGTAGAGCTTATCATTGATATATAATCTTATGAAGGTTTCACATGAGCAACATTGTGGTTACTACATTCACCCGTATTATCAAGTCTCCCACACACACCTCATTGCAGTCACTGTCCATCAGCCTAGTAAAATGTTGTAGAGTCATTACTTGTCTTTGTACCATACTGCCTTCTCCATAACCCCCCTACATTATGTGTGATAATCATAATGCCCCTTAATCCTCTTCTCCCACCCTCCCCACCTCCTTCCCTTTGTTAACTGCTAGTCTCTTGTAGTGTGTGAGTCTGCTGCTGTTTTGTTCCTTCAGCTTTGCTTTGTTGTTATACTCCACAAA